TTGAAAAACAGTGAAAATGACGTTCAGCGTAAGAAAATGTTGAACGTAGGGGCGAAAATGCAAAAAAATGGAACGTATGGACGTTTTCCACAACATGGGTCAAACGTAGGGACGTTTTGTGCTATTAAACCATATTGAGAATTAAAATAAAATAAAAAAAAATTTACCCCACCACTTTCACCCCACCCCCTATCTTCATCTTCTCCGAACGACAGTAATTTTCAGTCATGGTTAACTATTGACATCAATCAACACGTTGCCACAACACCCCCAATCTCGGCCTATCCCATCGGCCTACCTATATACTCATTTAACAAACTTCAAATTTCCACACATATTTCTAAAGAGTCTGCAACATAAAACCGTACTTCAAAACCCCAGTTGTAAAATTTCCAAAGTTTAAATTTTGGACTTTAGGGGTGGAGAAAAATGAGGAAATTACAAAAAATCAGGCATTTAAGTTTTCAAATTCAAAACTCAGGTGAAAAGTTTATTTAATAAAAAATCAGGTATTAATTGAATTATTAATTATAATAACCTAAATCACACTCTCTCATCCTCATCGTCACGTGTCTCTCTCTCTCTCTCTCTCTCTCTCTCTCTCTCATCTGTCACTCCCTCTTTTCCTATTCATCGGCGAAGCTCATCTGGCGAACTGAGTGCCGTCATGCATAGCCCCAGTTGTAGCTGCTGTGCTGAGATCTGAAATTTTATGCCAGTGTTGTCTTCTTCTTCTTGCACCACATACCCGCCTTCTTCTCCCTCTCTGTCGGCAGTCGAACATCGCACCACCGCCGTGATAGAGCACCTCCACAGACGGTGTGAGGGTCACCGATTAGAACCACCCTGCTCACAGTGGCATTGCGCCGCCGTGGTGTTGAGATGATTTTAGGCGTAAAGATGGCGGCCTGCCAATTTGGTTGATTTTTGTTTGTTTGTTGTTGGGGGTGGTTTCTATGGTGTGGTGAAGTTTGAGTGGCGGTGGTGGATCGGGCTGCTGATGGTGGATCGAGCTACTGATGGTGGATCTAGAGTTGGTGGTGATGGATTTAGCAGTGGCGATGGTGTGCTCCACGTCCTGATTTGGTGGATGTATTGTGGAGGTGAGGTGGTGGATCGGTTGCAAATGGTGGATCTCTATTTGGTGGTTGTGCTTTGGAGATAAGGTGGTGGTGGTGGATTTGGTGTGACGTAGTGGTGTTTTTCTGCCATCTGTGATTTGTTTGCAATGGTGGTGGTGGTTTTGATGGCGACGGTGGCGGTGGTGCCACTAGAGGCGGTGGTTGCAAGTGTTATGCAGTGGTGGTGTTTGACGGCGGTGGTCGTGGCGATGGTTGTGGGTGGGATGAGATGGGTTGGGTATCTGTGACTAATTATTTGGTTGATTGTGATCAATAATTGATTAATTATTGACAAATAAATAATCTGTGACCTAAAAATTGTGACTGTGACTCAATTTATTATTTGTAATTGAGTTGCGACCAATACAAATTTTGATTTTGTGATCAATGAATAATTTGTGACTTATAAAATNGACCGATAAATAAATTATGACCTATAATTCTTTAATTTGTGACTTATAAAATTTTCAATTCGTGATCAAGAAACATGTAACCTATAAAATTCTTGACTTGTGACAAAAAAATAGTCGTGACCAATAATTTGACAAGTTGTGATTGTCTGATTGATTTGCAATGAATAAATAAGTTATGACCAATAAAATTTTCAATTAGTGACCAATGAATAATATGTGACCTATGAAATTTTGATTAGTGTTCGAGAAGTAATCTGAGACCTATAAGATATTTGATTTGTGGCTAAGAAAAAATTTGTGATCAATAATTTGATAAATTGTGACTGAAAATTAATTTTTGATTAATTAATTAGATAATTGCGATCAAATTGCATATAATTGTG